TTATGCCTCCGGTAAGGGTCCTATCCCATTCGGGAATGCATACTCCTGCCACGTAACCTACGACTACATGAGATTAGATTTCGACGTGGATGAATTTCGCCAGCATCTCGCTACAGTTCTTGAGGTGGCCATAGGTATAAATACCTATGTACCACCCGAAGAACGTACCGAGATGACAACGAAATATCCACAATCGAAACCTAATCCTGTAGCCATAGATTACGTGACAACACTATGCATTACCAAACTGTCCAAATAATGGGACAATTCAAGAATTAATTGGACCGCAGTCATGCATTACGCATCCATGCACGAAATCCAACTAATCTCGAACGGGAAACTAAGTGTTACTAAACATAAAAATAAAAGCACGAAGTTAATTTCAATTAACTTCGTACATCACAACAGATTGTGCTATGTTACACACAATTTAACAACATAATATAAATATAACTTCACAAGAAAATTTTAAACATAACAAATTAACATTATTATATATAAAACGAATAAAATACATTCTCAATCGTTCTCTACCAATCGCTAATTACAAATATCCCTAACGAAAACAAAATAAAAAACCTTAGTACGAACTTAAATTAATACTTTTAAACTAATGACGAAAAATATTTACCCAATTAATGTATTGAAGTCCCAGCAGCGGCAGAGAGGTTGAGAGAGAGGCAGGGGCAGAATGCTCTGTTTTTGCACTCTGCCGTTTCAATATCACTACTTTAAATATGGCAGAATTCTAATATGAAGAAGAAGGACTTTGCGCGACGAATACATAAGTTCGTCGCGCAAACTTCCGTCGCAAAAACCAAATCGTCCGTCGTGCAAACCCTTTTTTTCGTCGCGCAATCACCTGCCGACATCTAACTTTTGCGCGACGCTGGTATTTTCCGTCACGCAAAATTTCGTCGCGCAATATCGTCACGCAAAAACAAAATTCCGTTGCGCAAAAGAAGCTATTCGTCGCGCAAACTTGGAACTTTACGCGACGAATAGTATGTACGTCGCGCAAAAAAAATATCCCAACCAGGTAATTTTGGCGCCAAAAATAAAATATCCCTCGTTCTCTAACGCGACGAAAAATCTTCCCGTCGCGCTAAGTTGTCTTGTGTGGCGCAGATTTTCGTGGCACAAGTTTTTACCGCCAAATAAAGGGACCCACTGGGTTCTGTCTGTTTTTGCGCGACGAATCAATGTACCGTCGCGCAAGGTTGTCTTAAGCGACGATATTTCTCATCGCGCAAATGTTTCGCGCCAAAAAAATTCCCCCCGCTTTTTTTAACTCTGTTTGCGCGACGACGATTTTTTTGGTCGCGCAAAGACATTTCGTGCGATGAAAAATTTGCTCGCGCAAATTTTCAGTGGATTGCGCGATGAATATTTTCTTTCGTCGCTCCAGTATGTTTTGCGCGACGACTTATTCTTCGTCGCACAATCTTTCGTCGCGCAAATGGTGAAACGTAGTAGTGGTTATAGTGCATTATACTTTGTTGTGCCATCATACAATGCGACTTTAATCAATGACATGTCGATTGAACGGTTGCGCAAATTAGGCTGTGAAAACTTTTCATTTATGTCGATTGATAGTGTTTATATCACTTGCTTTTTGTGACTTTCAAACTTTTAAAGACTTTTTAAAGTCACAATTGGATGCCATCAAACTTTTAAATACTTTTTAAAATCACAATTGAATACCACTAGACTTTTATAAATACTTTAAAAATCTAAATTGAATACCTCGAGACTTTTAAGCTCTATAAAAATGATTAAAAGTTTGAATTGAAAATTGTTAGAATGTGACTATCTAACTCAAAATTTATTGACATGAGAGGAATGGTGGAAGATCTTTTACAACCCTTATGATATGATGTACATTAGGAACATACAAGGGGAGAGGTCATAGTCCCCCAACTTCTTCTTCCGAAATATTATCTTTATCCCGCCCTTTCGAAACTTGATCTTTTAGAACTTGGGAGGGCTTTGTCCTAAATCTATAGTATAAGTATTGTATTCACCTACTGAGAATCTACAAACTAAGCCAAAATAATTATTGATCCCATTGGGAAGAACCAAGATATACAATGCAGTAAGTAAGAAAGGAAAAAGGTAGAGCAGAGCTTACGTTTGCTTCACTGCAAAACTACCAGCAATTAGGGATTGGTTGTTTTTAAAAGTTCCAACTGAAATGGAAGTAATCTTTCACAACTGAGACTTCTTTCTCTTTAATGGTATCTCTGTAAATTCCTATTAAAATTTCTTCAAAAAAAAAAAATTAACAATAAACATGTTTTGTTCCTTTTGCATATGATTCAGAAAGCTGTCACAAGCACAACGGGAGTCGTTTTTGACTGGCCAAAATACATCATCTAAACGATTTCAATTCTTGTATCTTGGAAGAAACTTACAAGTAAAACTCAGTAACTACTAATAATTCCAAAAATAAAAAATTGAGAGAAAAAAAAAAAATGTAATCCGCATTCGTCTCAAGGGTAAAAAGAAATTTAAAAAAAATACTTGAGTATCATAGCCAAAGTGCGCTAGACCCGATTTGGAAAATGGAAATTAAAGGACAGCAATTTTGGAAACACAGTGCGATGAACAATTATGGAAGGAGGCCAACGAACGAATGCAACTACTTTCCCTTTCCTTCTATCTTACATTTCTTGTAAATAAGAGTTCTATGTTACAAATCAAAATTGTGGCTAGTTTCTCTTAAATGCTCAATTAGAAATGAGCTTCTCAGCTCCTAAGTAAATGAAAACAAAAATTGCACAAGCTTTTATATATCTATCTCCTTTTCTACGCAACCCTTCACTTGGTCGCACTTACGAAAATTTCCGTTTTGAATGAATTAGCTGTTGGGGAAAACCAGCCCTTGAATCCAAATAGCCCGCCCGGTCCTGGAGCAAGCCATAACGTGTGAGTGACCCTTGCAACCTTTGCATTTATGACTGTTTGACGAAGCAGACCATTAGTCGTACTCACTGCAACAGAGTGCAATCACAGATGAATGCAGCTAGAAAACTCTAAATATATGTCCAAGGTGGCCAGATGCCTTTCTAGCTTTGGTCTAGTGTGGTCCTATCGAGGGTTGCCCGCATCAGAATTAGGAGGTGAAGCGGTGAAGCATGCCCATTGGAGTCAATCAATATGGAATGACATACGGTAGAGCGTGAACATCAGCAGACTCTATCCGCAGAGCCTCTGACCATACCTCAGGTGTCTCCTCAACCCCTGAAGATTCCACCTTGGGCTTCTTTGATTGGTTACCACTGCACCCAAACAACCAATCTTCATCATCATAATCAGGCACTTCGTCCACCTTTGGAACCAAATAAACCTGGCTTAGATATCTGGAATCTGGATGGGGCGGTCTCACAGATGCTTTGGCAACAGGAACAGCCTGTGCAGCTGTAGAAGTCAGCTTTGCAGGGGAGACAGACAATGACGGAGATTCAATGATGCCATTTATCTTGCAGTCCTTATTGTCCACCTTAACATTATTTGCTGATCCCAGCCTATCTGAAACATACGGGGTGGAAGTTTGGCAAGGTTCCACTGTTCTTCCATTTACCGTTAATGGATGAGAGGAAGAAGAGGGTCGTGGCAGTTTACTAGGCCTAATGTCATTGGCTGTAACATCAGAAAAGGAAGCATCATTAGTCAGCTAAGAATAAATGACCAGAGTTTGAATCTGCTTGACAAAATTGATTCAACATCACTGCCAATTGACGGATACCAAAGTGAAAAACATTATTATTTGGAATCAAAAGGAAACAGTTTAGATCAGGATCTGACATTAGGTCCAAAAACTATACCTACAACCTCCTCCCTCAGTTGTAGGAAAAAGGGCCAACTTGTGTTAGACAACTATAAAGCATGATTGGGCTGCAATGATGATACTTTACATCATGAAAAAGAACTCACCATGCAAAACTCCATTTGTCTGCAAGTCCTTCCTTTTCTTAAGATTTCCATCAGCACCAGCACTTTTGTTGCTGTCTTTCGGAAGTTGGGAGGTTATAACGTAATGAGGGTCTATATGATCCTCTTTATTGCTCTTTCTTATTTTATCTGGCTCTGCATTCTTAGATTCATTTTTCTCCTTTGCTTTCTGTTCCTTTTTCTTCTCTTTATCCAGCTCTGCAATATTAGATTCATTTTTCTCCTTTGCTTTCTCTTCCTTTTTCTTCTCTTTACCTGGCTCTGCATTCTTAGATTCATTTTTCTCCTTTGATTTCGCTTCCTTTTTCTTTTCTTTATCCTTGTCTTTCCCTTGTTTTTTCTTCTCTCTATCTTTCTCCTTGCGTTTCTCTCTTCGTTTATCATCACCTTCCTTCTCTTTGGTCTTTTCTTTTCCATCAATCTTTCTATCCACGTTGCTCCCCAATGGTCTGGAAAGCCCTTCAACTTTAGTTTCAACCATACAAACAGGGTTCTGAACCATTGTGTTCCCACTAATTTGTGCTGCAACCCTGATGCCTTGCCCATCCGTCTTTCTGTCATCAACTCTCTTGTCCTTGTTCTTTTCCTTGACTTCGGCCAAAATGTCAGCATCCTTAGCCACCAATCTGACCATCCCCTCATCCTTCTTTCGGTCTGATTCAGAAATCTTCTCAACCACATGGTTACCAATTCCTCTGGCCTCATCTTTAGTTCTCCTACCCAACTCCAACAATACAGAATTGTGGTTCTCCTCAGCCAGATGACGATTTTGACTGAGCTTCTCGGCCTGATAACCTCCAACTTGCCCAGTATTTCTCTTGTCAACACAGTTATCTTTGTACTCTTTAGGAATGAATTTCTCTGCACCAAAACTCTCAGTTTTCCCCGGATTTCTCCTCATCTGAAGGACTAATTTTATCTTTAACGGGGTCCCTGTCTTTCTCCTTATCCTTCTTCTTGTCTCTGTTTTTTCCCTTCTTGTCTTTCTTTTCCCGATGCTTTCCATCACTTCTGTCTTTCTCACTTTTTTCTTTACTTTCTCTCTTCTCTTTGTCCTTTTTTCCTTCTTATGCTTCTTTTCTCTGTGCTTCTCCTGTAATTTATGAAAATGTATAGAATAATAAAACATATGCATAAATACTCAAGAAACAGAAAAAATATATACTCGGAGAATTGTGTTGGAAGTTTATTTACAAGAACTAAAACTGAAAAACAAGTTTCAGGCGATCAATACGGATTAATATCAATAAGAACTGCCTTGCAAGACATGGCAAACAAAAATGACCATAACTAAATCTCAGTGAATTCCTTCAGTCATTAGACCCTATACTACTAGTGATGTCTCTGAAGTATTTGGCCAATGAATTCAATTTAATAATCTTTCCATGTTCCAAAAGTACCACCAAACCCATGAAAATCCGTGCAGTCCTATTTAAAAAATTCCCAAAAACCAGAACAGGACAAAATACAGCAACACGTTGCACATTTCACATAGTTTTTGCACACTTGAAGCCATCAAACGCATAGTTTCTGAAGAAATACAACAATTCTGTGAATTGTACACCCAAAGTGAAATCTCTAATCAAACCATCATTCACTTGAAAAACCTTGTTTTATACGTAACGGAAGAGGCAAATAGAAAGCAACCCTGTTTTATAAGTAATAGAATTAATTCACAGGTATGGAAGTATAAAGCAAGTACTTTGGGATCACACCACCAACCTTCAATAAGAAAATATAATTTCGCGTATAAGAAGGAGCAGAATTAGGACATAAAACTACAAACGCAATCCACCCCAAAACAAAGATTCATGACAAGCAAATCAGGAAAAACAAACAACAAAGAATATTAGAACATTTCAAACACAACTCAATAACATAAGAAGATCATCATAAAGCCGTCATCAATAAGGTGAAGGAAATACAACAAAATAGAACTTATTTGTTTTGTAGACAACATCCTATGCAACGTCCACAACAAAGGTGAGCATGACAATAAGATAAACCCGTGGTTTAATACTCCAAAAGGTAATGACAGAAGCACAGTTAACAATTATCCATATTATCCAGTCTCCCACTCATCATAATATACCTACCGCATAAAAACAAGCAATCCAAAGGCATTAAATTACATTTTCAAATGCATTTTCAACGTTAATATGCCTTTTTCTAACCGTAAATTTAATGTATGCATTTCAAAGTGAGGATTACACCTAGATATTTTCTACCTTATACCACTATAAGTAAACTTAGATAAAACACATTAGAAAAGATAAACATGTCACAACCAAATTCAAGGTAGCATGCCATAATGCCAAGTCAACTCCAAAAAAAGATGACAAGAAGTTAAAGAGATCCAAATATTCTAAAAAAGATGGAGAGTGAAATATTCCCAAGCCATTCAACCCATGAAAGCAACTATTAAATTAGTATCAAATTATCAAACACTGATAGGAACACCTCTAATGCGAGAAGCCAGAGCTAATCAGAATTCAGCACCTGCCCCCACACTACATTGAGGGAGTAATGTCATGCTAATCAAATGCCAAATTCCACCATTAATGGTGTTTTGTCTCTTTGCACTCATGACCAAAAACTTCAGATATAGAAATTCTGACTTCGCAACTCAAAAAACTAGATGCTCCTATAGGCCTTTAAACTTCAAAAGCCCCCTCTTCAATAGGTTCCATATTCTCTCTTAGTTTGAAGGAATGCAGCTAGAAAACTCTGAATATATGTCCAAGATGCAACCTTGGACCATTTCCTTCTAACTTTCCATGTTAAAATTTCCATCTTCAATGTTTTACTCTGTGTCTGCTATAATACAAGTGTTGAATTGCCAATATGCACTCTAAACTTCGGTGAACAACAATTCTCCTCTTGTGTCTGCTAAGACTTTAAGAGGTTATGCAAATGTCCAGCAACAAAAGATTGTGCTTACCAAACAATTATTGTCATCACTGTCTTAATAATACAAACCCAAATAAAATAAACTAAAAATTGTAGCCCATTTGTGTATTATCAACCATACACAAATATCTATCTACTTCCTTGTTTCCCTAGTTTGGAAGTTATTATGGCTAACACCACATGCCTGATTTAAAACACACACTAATGCCTATGTCACATATCCTAAAGATTTTTGGGAAAAACATTATTGTAACACCTCTTTCAATTTCTTCTTTTCTCACTTTGGTTTCTCTTCTTCTTTTTCTTTTATGAGAAACAGAGATATGCTATTAACATGTCATAGAAGTACAAAATATAGTGGAATGCATAAAAGACCCACAACCAACCAGCTACTCAACAGCAGAGTAAACAACGTCCAAAAGTAACCTGATTAAAATAATTACCAAAAAGCTAAGCTAGATAAAGAGAGCCTGAATGAATAAGGACAAAAGGTATTCTGCTGAAAATACAAGGAAATTTGAGCCCATTGAAGCCCAAAAACGAAACCCTATCCCACAATCAATCCATTTCTCCCCCTAAATTTTTAAAATCGTTTTATTTATTACACCCACACTATCCATTTCTCCCCCTAAATTAATATTGGAAAAGATTTCAAGTATAAATCTATTGAGTTAAAAATAAATTCAATTGACAAAATAAATAAAAATTAGTCTGTTCTTCTTTCTTTATTTTACGAAATTTAAAATTAAACTGGAACACAAAGCCTACTATTTGAATTTTTGTTTTTTGTTCCCTATTTTGAATTAGAGTTACCAAATCCATTTGCTAGACGAGATGAGGTAGGTTGCTCTCCTTAAAAGTTTTCCAATTTGCCTTTGAAAGTTAGTACATTTCCCCTTGCCCACAAAAAAAGAAGTTAGCACATTTCCCGGCACCTAGGCATATTCAATCCATATCATAACTTCGTCTCTCTCATCCATGCCCTTCTCACTCTATCAGCTCGCCTCAAAACCCCAAAAACAAAAAACAAAAATACCACTTTCAATTCTAGAAAAAGTAAAAAACGAACATAACATTTGTTCATGCAGAAAGTACTTGATTCCAGACCGCAACAGTTGAAAAGTACTAGATTCGGGCCACAGGATTCAAAGCAAGATTTGTTGAGATGGAAACATGAAGGTGTATGGCACGACGCAGGCATGAGTTTCTACCTGAATCCCAAAAAAATATAATAACACCAAAACAACTTAGCAAAAAAATATACAAAATAAATTCCAACTTCAAACATATCATAGTACAACAAAGCTTGCAACTATCATCTATAAATTGTAACAGAAGATTGTTTTACCTGATTCCTGTGATACTGCAGCTACTCAACGGTCCATTAAGAAAGACTTGGTAAATACTCTAGGAACAGGGGAAGGGGACTCTCTGCTGTTATCGAACAAGAAAAACGACAACGGTTCAACAATTTCAAGATTCACATTAAATCCCACACTACTAATCAAGAAAATCTCCATGATCCCACATTAAATCCAGTATGTTTCAAATTACTTGAAGGTTATATCAATTACAGACAAGAAATGGGTTGACATGCCAAACCAACAAAAGTTATACGCACATCCCGGCATTAGAGAACATGGTATGTCATAACAATATTGGTACTGAAACTGATGCTTAAGATGTTAATATTTGTCACCGGTTATCACTGCATTCAAAGAAACAATGAACTCAACTCCACTTCATTTTTTGTCCTCGGAGATGATGAATATGCTAAAAAATGTAGGTTCAAAATCTGAAAAGTCCTGCATGTTTGCATCAACATATTCATTTCCTTGTTCTGTTTCAATTAAGTTGTTACGATGCAAATAAAATCTGCTCTATATCAATCTCTCTCTAACCACCCCCTTAGGCCCTGAAACAAAAACAAAAAACAAAAAAAAAACAAAAAGCGAAAATGCTCAGCCTTATCAACTTCATATAACAGAAATACTGAAATTAACAATGCACAAGAATATTTACCTCTAAACAAGTGGTGATAAAGAATCCACAAATACCGAGAAGCATTGCCTTGCAATACCTGCTCAATGACAAACAACATGCCTAAGAAAATATTTACATGCAAAAATAAATACCAATCATGGAGTGATAAATACCTATAATTGTAATTCTAATCAAACATAGTATAGAAATCCCACTAACAGAGTATTTTGAATATATCCTTGATACTTTCCGCAATTCTTTATAAAATCAGCAATTAAAAAACATCTTACGGCTTCCTTTGAAGTCTTTCCCCATAAAAGAGAAGATTATATTGGAAATAAGAGACGAGCCCATTAGAAGACAAGTGGGAGTGGGAGTTTGAAAAGCTTACATTTCTTCACTGTCAAAGTTGGAGCTATTACGAATTCATTGTACGCATAGAGTCAATCTGTCTGCTGTCTGGTCACACAACTGATGACAAGAAAAAGGAAAAGGATAAACAAGTCTCATTCCTTTCAGAAATTATTCAGAATGAATAAACTCTAGTTAAACCGAAAGGTGAAGAATGAAAAGGAATTTTGATTTCAGGAAAGAAGAAATTACTGCGGATATCTGGAATGTGAGAAATCTTGGGCCACTCTGGGCCGCTGTCCTTGGTGCATTTTTCCTTCAGAAGGGGACATTCCCAAATTCTTAGGGTTTGTAATTTGGTGAGGCGTTGCATAGCTTCGACACTAGGTAGATACATCAGCTTCTTGCAATACCGAATATCCAACCACGTAAGGGATGTAAGGTTACCCAGCCAATCCTCAAGAGCCTCCACTCCATCGAAACACTCTATCCCCAAATATGTTAGAGAAGTGAAGTCTTGAATTTGTTGAGGCAGAGACTTGAGCTTGGGCCACCCGGTCAAAATTAATGTTTGAAGTTGTGATGATCCAGTTTCAAGATGGAAATAAGGGAAGGAATCGAGCTCCTCCCAGAACTCACCAAGTACCAATGTCTTCAAGCTGGCGCAGCAGTGTAGCCCTGTGGGCAGATATTTTAATTTCCCACAATTAACAAT